ATCCCAAATGGATAGAGCAAATTCTCCGGCTTATGGTTTCTCAATCGTACATTCCCTCTTGCTCCCAAATGTCAACCAGAAAATCCACCATTTCCTGCCAGTTTAAAGCACGGATAATGAGATGGACAGAGCATTACGCGGATAAAGTAAACTATTATTTGGAAACGGACTTACACCAAGCGGAACAGGCTTGGAGAATCGTTTGTTACTGCCAAGCAAACTATCATAGGTTGCATTCCAACTGCAAAGCCAAAACTTTTTAGGAATGCAGTGACACAAAGGGCTGACAAAAAATACCAAGAGAGGAACCATGAACCAGTGTTTCACTTCAATAGAAAATTAAGAGCCTGTTTGGGAGTGATTTTGAGAATTGATTTTTTGACCGTTGGGAGAAAAGTGGGGTCCATGTGTGAGAGAAGAAGTCGAATATGACGATTGGAATAGTGAAATAACGGTCAAAAAATCAATTTTTTGGAGCAAAAAAGCGCTCCCAAACAAGCTGTAAGTAATAGAATGGTAATTTTCAGAAAATTATCAGCGTTCATCTTATATAGGATGGTTCCCGTTTAAATAACATGGCATGAAATATTTGCAAAAAGATTAGCCTAGATCGAAGTCAAGTGACGAAGAATTTAGGTTACTACTAACCAACTTTTAAGTTTATATAGAATAAGTTTATTATTGTTTCTCACCTCATCTAAGGGACAGGGTAACGAAAAATGTCAAAAATGAAATCAACTCACTGTATCCAGGGTTCACGCAGTTGCTGCGAATGTTTCAAAGGCTTTTTGTTCTCTATCCAGTTCTGTCTAATCTGGTACCAGAGAAGAAGACCTACAACCAAAGCCATTCCAATTAAGATTAACCTCATTCACAAACCGCATATTTTAATATAGAAATTGATTGTAGAAAAAGAAGAATACCAATCACTGAAAAGATTAGAGAACAAGTTTATTAAGCAAGAAACAAGAACACCTAACGGAGTACTACTTATCTATCATTGGTTGGTTCTTACGAGTGGTGCAAGTGTACGTTAGACCCGAGTCCTCATCACTGACTTGCGAATAATTGCTTGACATTGAAAACGCAATCTAATAATGCTATAATGAAGGATATACACATGTAATTTTGCATTAACAGGGAGAACATTCTATGTGATCCTCGAAGATAAAACTTAGGAAACATTTAGTTAAGGTCCAGAGAGATTACAAAAGAAGTTTCTCGTTTCACCATTAGACAGAGAACGGTGTTTAGCAGTCTATTGGGAAGTGCCAAGAACCACCAGCCAGAGCCCCCACCCACCCACACCATAAAATAAAAAAATAAAAAATAAAAAAAAAAATACAACAACAACGACAACAACAACACAACAACACGAGAGAGAGAGAGAGAGAGAGAGAGGAAAAAGTCCCAAATAAAAAAGAAGCCCACTGTGCAATTTAGTTGCATTGTAATTCAATGACGAAAACATTCAGTATCAACTTGCCATGATTTATGAAATCAGAAGGATTGTTCGAACAGCCAGCGCTAGGAGAATCATGTATCTGAGTTAATTTACTAATTTGGAAGATGCTTCCTCGCGATTCCACTTTATTGTCTTCCATCTCAAAAGTGCTGGTGGTCAAGAAATCCTCAGATGTGCCAGCTTTTGAAGCTTGGAGATTCTTCCCTTTCAAATGCTTTTCAAGCGAGGAAGTGAGTTTGTGGTAAATTTGACATCCAAGACAACCACTGCTCTGTTCCAAATGAATACAAGAAGTAAGAAGACATAATACACAAGTTAAATTCTCTAATGCATCAACCCCGGATAAGAAAAAACTAATTCCTGCCTTCGACAGTCATAAATTCGAGCAATCTAAGTTAGAGAATGGCAACAGATTAACTGAATCAAGCTGGGGTAGAAGTTGTGTTTGGCTGATTTTTTAGTTGGGTAGCAATAAATTTTGCTAATCTCCATAATGAGCTCAAATTATGTATTTCACTGTCTAATAAGCCTATGTTAGGCTCACCAATATCCTAACTTGAAACTATTATGTATGATAAGAAAATTAATCAAGAATA